GATTCTACATAAATAAAAAAAGTACTTAAGACCTAAAACAAAACTAACTAAAACCAAACCGTAACTGTGCTTTAAAGAGTCTTAATTAAATCCAAGGCAACCAGAATATATGCATTTCAGGAATAAGCGCTAAAAGCTCTCTTATCACCTTGCACGTTTAAGAGTGACTCAGTACCGTCACACAAAGAAAAATATGCACAAATACAGATATGAAAATGCATAACCACTCAAGGTTTGGTTTTTGGGGGAAACACAGATTTTTTTTAATACACTTAAGCATTGAGGAAAATATTCTATAAGATGCTGTGCAAACTGCAATGCCTTCGGAAAGGGACTTCAACTGATGGTAAAGATTAAAGTGGATGCAATATTCCCAACGAAAAATGTAGCTTTGAAATTTGATATTAGAGGTGGCAGTTATTTGCGCACCTGTGACTTTGTCACGGCAATTCAAAAGTCACGAGTAACTGCTGTGACAACTTCTTAAAAGTCATCGTGACAGACTGTGACAAAGGAACAGTCGCAGTGATGTTTTGTTTTGGAGCCTTCTGCGAACTGTGACTGCGATAAAGTAGAAATCGCAATTACATATCGAGAAACTGCAACCAGTGATATTAACCTTAAAGGAATTTTCTTATAATGACTGGTTATTTAAGACTAAAATCTGATTAATGTTATTTGATATTAGAACTTCCCACCATTAAAAATGAGTGTGAATGGTCAGAACAATCGACAAAAATAGTCAGCGATGCCCAATAAATGAATAATTCCCTCAGTTCACTCGGTAAAAGAGTGGTTTTGTAACTTTGTTGTTACTGTTTTTGTCACACACCGCCGCCGAAGAAGTAGTCGGATTTCAGCGAGCCCGAAAGAACAACTGGTACGATGAGGAGTGTAAGGAAGCTGCAGAGAAAAAAGATGCCGCCTACAGGGCCACGCGCGCTATTGGGACCGCTATAGAGATCTGAAGAGGGAAGCGAGACGTGTTCGACGAAATAAGAAGCTAGAGGCCGAAATACGTGAGTGCGAAGAGCTTGAAACGCTGGCCGACAGGAAGAATGCCCGAAAATTTTACCAAAGAGTTAGGCGACTTACGGATGGTTTCAAGACCAGGGCGTACTCCTGTAAGAACAATAGCGACCTAGTACCGAGGGAACACTTCTGCGCCCTACTGAATGGTAGCAGCACGGAAAGTTGTGGAGAAGAAGAACTCGAGCCCGCAGTCGATGATGACGGAGTCGACGTTCCACCGCCTGACTATGACGAGGTACGTATAGCAATAACGCGGCTGAAAAACAACAAAGCTGCTGTAGCTGACAGCCTGCCAGCTGAGCTATTCAAGTACGGCGACGAGGAGTTAATAAGGTGCATGCATCAGCTAATGGTCAGAATATGGTCAGATGAACGCATGTCCGACGACTGGAATTTAAGTGTTCTCTGCCCAATCCACAAGAAAGGTGACCCCGCCATTCGCGCTAACTACCGCGGGATCAGCCTTCTAAGCATAGGTTACAAAGTCTTATCGAGCGTATTGTGTGAAAGACTGAAGCCCACCGTCAATGAACTGATTGGGCCTTATCAGTGTGGCTTTAGACCTGGCAAATCCACCATAGACCAGGTATTCACAATACGCCAAATCTTGGAAAAGACCTGCGAGAAAAGGATCGACAGTCACCACCTATTTGTCGACTTTAAAGCCGCTTTTGACAGCACTGAAAGGAGTTGCCTATACGCCGCTATGTCTGAATTTGGCATCCCCTCAAAACTCATACGGCTGTGTAAATTGACGTTGAGCAATACCACCAGAATTGGGAAAGACCTCGCCGAGCCGTTCGCCACTAAACGGGGTTTCAGACAGATCGACTCCCTTTCATGTGACTTCTTTAATCTGATGTTGGAGAAGGTAATAAGAGCTGCAAAACTGAACCGATCAGGAACAATTTACTACAAGAGCGTGCAATTGCTGGCTTATGCCGATGACATCGAAATCATCGGTATCAAAACCGCGAAGTCTGTTCTGCCTTTTCCAAGTTGGATAGGGAAGCAAAGCGAATGGATCTGGTGGTTAACGAGGACAAGACGAAGTACCTCCTGTCATCAAACAAACAGTCAGCACATTCGCGCCTTGGCACCCACGTCACTGTTGACAGTTACAATTTCGAGAAAGTAGAGAATTTTGTTTACTTGGGAACCAGCATTAACACCGATAATAATGTCAGCATTGAAATCCAACGTAGAATCACTCTTGCCAACAAGTGCTACTTTGGACTGAGTAGGCAATTCAGGAGTAAAGTCCTCTCTCGACGTACGAAAACCACGCTCTATAAGTCACTCATCATGCCCGTGCTGGTATATGGCGCAGAAGCATGGACAATGACAACATCCGATGAGGCGGCTCTTGGAGTGTTTGAGAGAAAGATTTTGCGGAAGATTTACGGGCCTTTACGCGTTGGCGACGGCGAGTACCGCAGACGATGGATGTATGAGCTTTACAACGATATGGGCATAGAGCAGCGAATTAAAATACAGCGGCTCCGCTGGATTGGTCATGTCGATCGAATGGACACCGACGCTCCAGCTCTGAAAGTATTCAACTCGAAACCCGCTAGTGGTAGCAGAGGAAGAGGGAGGCCCCCACTGCGATGGAAAGATCAGGTGGAGAAGGACTTGGCTTCACTTGGCCGTTCCAATTGGCGTCAGTTGGAACAGAGGAGAAACGACTGGCGTGCTTTGCTGAACTCGGCCAAAATCGCTTAGGCGGTTACAGCGCCAAAAAGAAGAAGAAATGACCTTCTAACTTTGGACTTCTAGACTGGGCGAACATGTTTTTTTTGGAGAACGAAAAAAAAGACGAATCACCGAGCCGGAGATGCTGTATCTTTTGATCGTATTACCGACTTCCGGTTTCGCCCGGATGTAGGTTGAACTGACCCGAAGTCCATTCTTTTTAATGGTCATACATGTTTTAACCACAGATTCAGATTCTGCGGACAAAAATACAAAACTTTAACTGGAAACTTTTTTCTAGAATGGAGTTCCGATTAAAAAAACGCACTTCCGGTATGTTTAGCCCACTTCCGGTAGAAAACCGAAGTCGGTAATACGACCAATAGATAGAGCATCCCCGACTTGGTAATTCATATATTTTCGTTTTCCAATAAAAACATTTAACCTCATTTAAGTAGTATAAAATGGTCGAAGTGAAAAAATGGTCGAAACCGGAGGTCGGCAATACTTCGTTATGCTTTCAGATAACAGCAAAAAAAGCAATCAGAAAATCTTATTCTAGCGAGTTTCAGAAGTATGTATTTGTACAGCAATGTGAGCCAAAATGTGATGTAACAGGCCGCGTCTTGAGCCATATGCGTTTGTATGCACATTTCTCATAGTTTATGGCACTTCAAATCATGATCAACAGCGGTTACCCACAAATTGTTAAGCTTCGGTAAATGTATTCAGCCATGTCCTTCCTTCTTATTAGTCACGAACCATTAACCTGCTGAAGTATTTGCTATCCCAAATGAAGTAAAGAAGGTTTAAGAGTTCTCCCTCTGCGATCTCTGCAAAACTGGAAAACAGCATGAGCCTAGGTATTTGAGTCGCTTTGATCCTAGGCGTGGACGTGTCAATGGCTTCCCATTCACATCTACAGAGAGAACTCGTTGGTATTCGCCATCGTTAGAGCATTGTTGCAATAGCATAGTGTCCCGTGAATAAATTTAGGTACTTATCGACTTCTATTTCTGAGTATGTATATGATTCGGTAAAGCGTTCAAATAATAGTGCAAGGAAAATATTCAGTTAGGGAATCAACATTCAGCATGGCTACCAGTTCATTTATTAGTAATTATCTTTCGCTAAAAGGTATGCATTAACACTATTTGGGCAATAACTCGACCTTAGGGCCAGCTTAAACTAGAACTATATCTAGAACACGTGTACCGAATTTCAAGCAAAACGGACCATGAACAAAATTTTTCGAATAGATCGATCCCTGGTCCATCTATCAGAAAAAGGTATCCTATACCTTAACCCTGGCAATAAGCTGCCTACGTGCCAAAATTTCAAGCAAAACGGACTAAAAATACGATTTTTTTTCGAACAGATCCGTCCTTGGTCCACTTACAGAAAAAAGGGATCCTTTATGTTAACCTAGGCAAACAGCTATCTACGTGCCAAATTTAAAGCAAATCGAACCGTAAATACGCTTTTTTCAAATAGATCCCTGATCCAGTTACGGGGAGAAATGGATCCTAAATGGCAATCTAGGCACAAAGTTACCTACGTCCCAAATTTAAAGCAAATCGCACCTTAGTTACGATTTTTTCGAATAGATCGGTCCCTGGTCCACTTACCGGAAAAGAGGATACAATATGTAAATCTAGACAAAAAGGTTCCTACGTACAAAATGTCAAGCAATAAATAAGATTTTTTAGAATAGATCGGTCCCTGGTCCACCTTCCGGAAAAAAGTAAATTATTTTGGCCCCTTGATATGGTAGCTGCTGAAAGCTATTTATACACAAAATTTCATGAAAATCGGACCTGCCGTTTGCGAGATTACCTGTTACAAAAGAAAGGACTTCTTAACGAAATCTTTAGGAGTATCTCATTTCTGTAACGATTTTTTTACGAATCTTCAAAGAAAATTATATGAAGCGGTTGACACGAACTCGTAGAGAAATTTCTGTACGAAAAATGAAGACAATTCAGAAAAAAATCTGCTTGAAATTCTTCAAATAGCAGCATTATTTTCATTGCTTTACCGATTTTCTTCCGAAATTTCGTGAACGAAGTGTGCATAGTTTATTTCATTTTAGAAAATTCGCCAAAACTCAGATGAGATCTTTACGAATTGTCTAAAATTTCTCTACAATTCAGTATACTCTGTAAAAATGATTTGCAGGGATGATTCGTACGAGTATCATACGTACAATTAATTATTGAGTATCTTGACAAAAAGAATGTTAAACGATTTTTACACAATTCTGTGACACTTACCGTGACCTCCTTTCTTTCCATTTGCTTTGCTTTTTGATTTTCTGGGATATAAATGGATTTTACTTTGTCCACAGCCCATAATCCGTGTAGCAGCAGCGTTGCCGCTGAAATATGCGCTGCTGCTGCTGCTTCTGCTTTCTAAACTGCTCCACAACTAATTTACAGCGTTTTACCGCTGCACCTCCTTTTGTGATTCCTGTAAGGTGGTAAGTTAATAGAATATTATACATATGTATGTATTTTATGTGTGGAGCAATTTACATATGTATATGTATGTATTCACAAAAAAAAACGATAATTCCTTAACAAATAAATAATAAATTTCAGGCGAGGTGAAGCATAGAACTGAGATAAACCACCCGTGGTGAAATTTAATTTGTACACAGAGCCAAAGAATGATGGTAGATGTAATGAAGAACCAACGAGTTACAACAGATTTGTACCGAAGCGAAAGCTTGAGATTAAAAAGAAAAATTGAGACTAAGAAAAAGGATTGCATATGGAGAGGAATGTACAAATATATATACATAGATGTACCTTTATGTACGTATGTATGTACATCGTTGCACATGTATTCACATATATAAATATGCACATATTGTGTACATACATGCCTACATACATACATACATACATACATACCCCACTGGGAAAATAGGTAAGCACCTTCCGAGGTAAGCCATGTTTTCTTTCAGTTTTTAGTACCAAAATTGTCATCATGGCTAATGTCATCTACTAGTAAAGGGCAAAATGAACACCTCCGAAGACACATTACGTTGTCAGTTGCAAAATAACGTGCAGCCGAAGTTATTTCCAAGCACCGAACTACTCCGAGCGACTGCTCTGCATTACACGTAACTTACTTTGTATAGCGGCTCAGAAGTATGTCTGATACCAAATGTACATTCTAAATTCCTACTTACATAAGGCGGCCATGCCTTTGTAAAAGTAAGGGACGTTCGGCAGGTAAATGGTAATGACTGCCAGGTGAAGAGTAAGTTGCTAATAAGGTATTATTACGTGCTCCTAATTCCCACTGGGACATGTTTTTTTGAATACAACTATGGTGAAGTGTAAATATTTGTAGTAAAATATGCAACGGGTATCTTCAGGGTGGTTGGGATAATGCGCTGGCGCAAGAAAAAGTTCAGCAAAGTTCAATGAAATACATGGAGTTTAGATTGCGAAAGTGAGCAAACGCAAAATAGCGAGAGAGCAACGGCGAGCGCCAATTTACCCAGTTTGGAAAGTGCTACCAAAATTTATTCTTTGAGTGCATTTGTAGTTTTGCCAAAGGGAATGTTTAAGGTTCATTCAGGCGTGGCTAGGGAATTGACCTGAAAAAATATGAAAATTAAGTTACTTTTTATTTCGTTACTCAGTTTTCGAAAAGCTAGCTTTTACAATTTCATTACAATATTGCATACAAAATAATTAGTAGCAAGGTGTAATTTTTTAAACATTTTCTAGATTGTCCATGGCATTGTTGCAGCAAAACGTTACCAAAACATTCGAGAGTGGTTTAGATATGTTTTGTGTTTATTGCGTACAGAGTAGAATAGCTCAAGTAGTGTTGAGTTGGGTGGACCAAAGAAGTGAAGTCGGAGTTTATTGCTTTACCCTTTTCTATTATGAAATCACAAAATATTTTGAGCGCTCAAAGTTTTCCTCACTTCGTCCCTGGTCGGAAGCTTTCTCTGCTCCAATCCTCGCATCACAACTGCTTAATCTGAGTCCTCACGCTGAAACTTCCGTAGTTGTACTCCATATTGGTTTTCACCGATGTCAACTTCATTGACCGGACACGTATAGCCTCAACCTGGACCTCAGGCTTTACTGCTTGCCTTTGCATTCTCTGCCAACAACGACCTTTTCCTGGATACGTCGAAGCGCGCCGCTGCTTCTACAGCTTTCGACATTTCCGGACACTTCTGTTTCTGGTGAAATCTTCGAGAGTTCCTCTAAGAGCAACCGTCTACTGCAGTGCTGGCTGTAGTACCCAATCCTAAGTGGCACTTTCCTAGTCGCGATATGTCAGGATCATTCCCTGCAGGTCAATCTTCATGCCTTGGCCAAGTAGAATGTCCACGCCGATGATGACTTCATCCACAATGTCTGCCACTATAACCTTGTTGTACGGGGCCAAATTTGGGTGCGCTCACCAGTTGTAGTCTGCAACTTTGATCCAGCTAATGACTTCACACACCAAGTGGCAAAATCAGATCGAATAATGGAATTTGACGCTTCAGTATCCGCTCTCAGAACTCGCTCTTGCCCATTCAAATATCCACCAACAGTAACGTTGTTCGCTTTTCTGCAAATTTGCCTCGTTTTAGTTCAACGACTGATTGGAGTTGGGCTCGTCTTCTTCAGCCCTGTGTTTGCGTCTGTCTTACAATCGCCTTGCTTTCCACAACTGAAGTATTTTGCAGCATCCTTTTTCTCGGTGGAAACATGATTATTTATTCCTGCGATTGACTTTAGCGTTTTCAGTATCTCGTTCATAACGTCCAGTGTCTCCACTTCCACTCGATGGGCTTTGTAGGCTGGGCTACTTAGGAGCGCCGCCGTTTATGTGTCTCTGCATACGAGACAGTTTCAGCAAATGTTAGTTTTGGATTCGCATACGTCTCTCGCTTGGTATATATGTCCCGCCTTCCGCTTATGACCTATGGATTTTAACCATTTCGAGCAGAGCTGGGCGATAAGGATTACATGTGTAATCGATTGCATCTAGGATTACGATTATTTTAATCGCAATTTCAAAAATTATTAAATTAGGATTTTGGTAATCGTTCATCGAAGGCATCTTAGATTACGATTACAGTAATCGTAATTTAAGCTTTTTTAAAATTACAATTACTGTAATCGTAATCAAAGTTCGCTCAATGAATGATTACAATAATTTTAAATTTACAATTTTTCTAATTACAATTTTTTGAGTAATTAAACGAAGTAATTCTATAAATTTGCGAAATATAAATGCGCGCTTAACGATAATATGAAGATAATATGTATTTATCTAAATCCTTATAACAGAAAATACGGGATAACAATTAAAGTAATCGTTCCTCGAACGAACTTGGAATACGATTACAGTAATCGTAATTTTAACTTTTTTAAAATTACGATTACTGTAATCGTAATCTAAGTTCGTTCGATGAAGGATTACTGTAATCGTTATCTTGTTTTTTTTTTTAAGCTTGCTAAGTGAGCCAACCTCTCAATCTCGGAGGCAAATTCCTGTAGTCTCTTTGGCTTTTTGGCATGTACCATAACGTCTCTCCTCGGCGCCCATCAATGCATCGTAACTTTTATTTTCGCAGTCGGGAACAGTATGCAAAATTTCTCCTGCAGGCCCTTTTAATCAAATAATAGCGCAGCGGATTTATCCTGTAATCGTCTTCCCGAACTAGAGCTTTAAGACTTGAAAAGGAATCCTGCCGTCAAAGGATGGGGTTTTTACCTTGGGAGCGTTCGTTGAAGTGGCTGGTAGAGCTGGAGAAACATCGATGGAAACATCGATCCATCGATGTTTTTATATAAGCTGCTGACATCGATGTTTTTTTCTCAATATCGATGTTAATGCAAATTGAAACCCTATAATCTTAATAACTTTTAAAAGACTTTAAAAACGTACTTCATTTATGCATAAGTACTTTTTAATATCAAGCTCGTGAAGGGACAAAAGTATTATACATAAGGGGTTTTCATCTAAAATAATAAAGGGATAAATTGCATTAGTTTATCAGTTTATACGCATTATTTCATGAAATTTTTTGCTATATAGCTTATATGGCCATCTACATTTCATTCTTATCTCGTTCAATGTGCTTATTTGCTTTTTATATGTTCGTAGCAAAAGCGACCCGCCGGAATTCTGTCGGGGTTGAATTTTGCTGAAATTTATACATTTATCCACCAAAATCGTTTAATAAACTTTGATTAAATAGATTTCCATACAAAGTTTGACAGCACATTTATCAAAATGATAAATTTATAATTTGATCAAGTTTGTCAACAGTTTATCACTTTAGATGAAGACCCCCTATAGTTTGTTATATTTAAATTAATTACTCATGCGTCAGCAAAAATCTTAACAATTTTTAAAAGACTTTAAAAACGTACCTCATTTATAAATAAGTAATTTTTTATTTCAACCCCTTGAAGGGACAAAAACATTATAATTTATTATTTTCAATTAAATAAAAAAACTAAACTATAGTATAGTATATTATTATACAAATTTTATATTTAATAGAATTCTGAAATACGGCGTTCTTCAATACATAGTACAATACTACATCGACCTGAGTGGAAGATCCACCTATCTCGGCAGCGAGTTCGAGAACGCCCTATCTCAGAAAACTTTTCAAGAACGCCCTATTTCAGAATTTTATTGAAAAACACCCTATATCAGAATTTGGTTGAAAAACGCCCTATCTCAGTTGCCGATTCAAAAAAGCCCTACTTCAAACGAAAATACATTGAAAATGTGATGAGGTCGGCAGCTGAGAGAGGGCGTTCATCAACCAAATTCTGAGATGGGATGTTTTTCAGTAAAATTCTGCAATAGGTCGCGTTCTTCGCTGCCGAGATAGGTCGCTCTTCCGCCAAGGTATCGATATATTATAGTACAGTTGCCAACCTTAGTCCCATACCTAATTCTTGCAAAGCTTTTCAAAGGCACACAAACTTTTCCACCGTCTCATCCTCCTCAACGCATAATGGGCAAATGGAGTTGTCATGTACGCCTATCACAGTCAGGTGTTTGTGCCACATGAATTGACCAGTCAGCAGTCGAAAAAGTTGTCTGCAGTCCCGTCTGCTCAAAGGACAGCAAACAACTAAATATACATTCTGAGATTGAAGGTTCTGATGGTGGTTAGGATGGCCGAAGGTGGGGGTGCGCTAACTGGTTGCGGACCGAGGAATGCCGACTGACCTGGCACACAGAGTAAAGCAAGCTCGTTATGTTTACCAACGTAATTTAGTAGTAGTAGTTAGAGGCCTGGCTAATGCCTTAAGTGCAGCTTAGCTATCACTAGAGACACGTAAACTCCTTTCCCTCCACCTATTTTCTAACAAGAAGTTCATGGCCTTGAGACTTGCAAAGACTCCAGCATGGAAGACCGAAGCCTATTCCCCAAGAGAAAAGTGAAGCTTATTCGCAATAACTATCTTCGAAAAAGACCC